ATACTATATAAAGGTTGAATGGTAATCTTTATTCATCTGACTGCAGATTTAATGTTACAATCAGAATCTGGTTCTGTTCTCTGCCCCGTTTGGTGCTGCTATTAGCCTGGGTCTGCTCCGGTACCGTTAACCCTCCGAGCCCGCTCACCAGAGGTCTGTGTCGGTTCCGGCAGGTCGTCGAACAGGTCCATTATTCTACTGGGTCACCCCGACAGCTAACAGGCTAGCTAACCTGCGCTAACTTCCTGCTGCCCGCCGATTGTTTCTGTGTGCCGACCCGGTCCAGTTACGGGTTCAACCGGTACTGGATTCAGAACTGGTCAAAGTAGTCTGTGAATGTCCCGTTGGGCTAATTGGTTCAGTTCTGACACCGAGAAGCTGAAGGCGGGTAAAGAAAAGACGGTTAGCATGAAGCTAGCGGAAACTCTAAGGAGTTTCCGTTTGATCCTTTCAAAACAAAAGTAAGCAGCGCCGTGTTACGTCACTTCCGCCTCCAATGTGTTGCTTATGCTGGCGCGTGTGTGTGGGCGGGTGGCGGTAAATATCCATATTCATAAAGATTAATTAACAAAGTAGCAAATAAATATATAAATAAGAATGTGTGTTTGTGTGGAATTATTTGTTGTTTATTTTTTGTGTTTATTTTAATTCTTGAGCCTTTTTTTAACTTCACATTTACAGAAAATGGGTCAATCGGGTTCCTGGTTCAGGCCCCTAAGATCAGGTTTGCAGGCTATTTGGGGTCACTGGAAACTGCAGAAGGCCGGAGGTCCCACAGCAGCCGTGACCCTGAACGCCTCACAAGCTGCCATTGATCAGGCTGAGACCTGATCTTAGACCAGTGGATCCACCGGTCTGATGGTCTGTCTGACCCTGTCGCCATGCGGATCTGTCTCCTGTGGATCAGCTGGACCCTGTGGTTCTGCAGCGGAGCTCTGCAGCATCCTCAGCGGGAGGAGGGAGACCTGGAGCCCGGCGGGCGGAGGGAGGAGGTCCGGTTCAGACCCGGCAGACTTGCAGCTCTCCTGGGACCGGGGGACCGGGTGAAGTTCGGGACCCGGAGAGCAGCTCATAGTGGGTGAGAACCATTTTAGACTCAAAGGGACCAAATCTTTATGTTTCTTTATGTTAAGTATTTAAAAAGATAAACTAACCGATTTAACAGTTTTATTTCTAAACTTTATAAATTGTATTTTTTAATGTTTAATTTAAAGTAAACTAGATTTATTTTAATTTAATCCGTCCATTATCTTTACTCGCTTCTTCCGTTTTGGGTTTCGGGGGGGTCACTGTGAGAGATGGGGGACACCCTGGACAGGTCTCCAGTCCATCACAGGGACACATGGAGACAAACAACCATTCGCTCTCACACCTAGAGACAATTTAGAGTTACAATTAACATTTTGCTCTGTGCGGAAACCGGAGGACCCCGAGAAAACCAGGCCCTGGTCTGTGTGGTGTTGTGTTTATAAAGCTGTTTGGATCCGGTCTGCTGGATCTCCTGCTGCTACAATACAATCAGAACGCTGTAAGTAATGAATAAATCCTCTGCTGAGAGGCCCTGGCTCCCAGAACCAGACCAGTACCAGAACCACTTATAAACATCACAGTGATACACCCTGGGCCCACCATCACCCTGTACCACAAAGTCCTCATTCCAGTCCAGTGACATGGAAGAAAGTTGAAGCCAGAGACGACCCAGCGTCTGCACAGGATCGTTCCAGGACCAGATTTAACGCCCCCCTTTAGTTGTTCTGAGGTCCAGGCTGGTCTACAGAGGTGATCAGGTCTTTAGTTGTTCTGAGGTCCAGGCTGGTCTACAGAGATGATCAGGTCTTTAGTTGTTCTGAGGTCCAGGCTGGTCTACAGAGGTGATCAGGTCTTTAGTTGTTCTGAGGTCCAGGCTGTGAAAACAGCAGTTCGATCATGGGAAGTCTGACTTCCTGTGACCCACTGAACATCTGAATGAAGGTTCTGCTGTAGAGGTCAAACAGGACTGGGGTTTTTTTTTTACCATCGATGGTCGACTATGGGGAGATTTGAGTGATTTTGACGGTTTAGTTTGATGTTCTGCTGCCAACGGTCAGAGCTCAGTGTTCTTGATGGAGACACCTGGTTCTGATGGATTATTTTCTGGATTTGTCCAAACTAGCATGTTTGTCGGAGACTGCAGATTATCAGATAAATTATAATGAGGGTTCTGTGATATTCTCCTCGTCATCCATGACAGCAGGTATTTATCACCTGGACGCTTGGAAGCGGACCTGGTGGTGCTGCTAGCCCACAGCTCAGTGGTTCTGTTGAGTCGGGATGCTGGGCTGGTGGTTCTGCAGGATCAGAGAGGTTCTCTGAAACACTTCCTGTTTCACTCGGCTGAGAGGCGTCAGACTGCTGGAGCTCAGAACGTGGACCTCAGTCCGGTCCAGTCAGAATGCCGACTCAGCGTTTTCACTGTTGGGTTTTTTCTACGTCTCAGACTCGGCTCCAGACTTTGTGTCACTTCAGCTGTTCATGTATCAAAAGTTCGGCTCGTTCAGGGATGGTGCTGTCACTTTGTTGAAATTGGGTCATTTTTTTGGACTTCTTATGATTTTATATTTATATTTCACATTAAAAATGGCTTTTTAGTTGTTGTTTTTTTTTTTTAACCAACATTATTAACGCACTGGACTTAAAATCACACAAAAACATAAAATCCAAGGGGAAATGTTTTTAATACAACAACAATTATAACAAACCGTTTTTACAATAAACAGTAAATGTCATACACTTATGTACACATTATTTATTTATTTTATTTAAACCTTTATTTTACCAGGAAGAAATCCATTGAGATTATTAATCTGTTTTACAAGGATGTCCTGGACAATGTGCAAATATAAAAAATTTAAAAAAGTTATATAAACTACTTCCTTTGGAATGCAGGTGGGGGGTTTCTGTGCACAACAATGAGGCCTCACAACAAAAACAACATTTTTTTGTTGTTGTTTGTCTGAACCCAGACAGGGCACGTGCAGCTCTCTGGTTGACCACCTGGTGGCAGTGTTTGCCCTTCAGCCGGCCTTCGGTGGGTTTTGGTGTTCATGGACGGTTGTGACATGGGAATGTTCTCCTATCTCCTCTGGGGAACAACTTTTCCACAACATAAAGCCGTTAAGCAGCTCCACCATGAAGTCCTTGTGTGTCTTGGACTGCACCTGCTTCTACTGCAGGTCCAGGAAGCTGTGGATGCAATGTCCAGGAGGGGCTTCAACAAGGTCCTGAACGTCCAAGCAGCTTATTTGTGGGTTGACTAGTGTTGGATGAGCTGTTGTAAGCAACACGTCTCACAGTTCATGTCCATCTCTGTCCTCCACCTGTCAATTGCTGTCTCACCCTAAAATGCAGGATGGATGGTGCTGCCCATGTGTCCATCCTCTTCACAAACACAAGTGCTCCCTCTCTGGTCATCTTCCTGTCTCGCTCTTTTTGATGACAGTGTTTGTTCTCCTTCTGGGATGTGCTTTTCTGCTCTCCCTGTAGGTACCACCAGCTCCAAACCACATGTTGGTCAGGTCCTCAAACCGTTTGGGGCTGCTGTAAAAGTCGTCCATGTAATTGTGGAACCCAGTGCCGTACCTAGCAGCTGTCACCTTCAGCTCTCAGCGTTCACACATTCATCTTTCTTTAAATTACCTGATAATCAGTTTGTTTGTCACAAAGTTGCAGATGATTTACTGATAAAATCTGTGCTTCCTGTCTGCAGTCCTGGTGTCTGTGGAGACCGGTGTTGTGTCCAAAGAACTCTGTCTCCTGGACCAGGAGAAACCAGAAGAAGCTCCAAACGTGAGTAAGATGTTTCACTTCAGTCACAGCAGCTGCAGCGGCCATCTTTGATCAAATGACTGTTTTCTCTCCTTGTGCAGCCAGATGTTCTCATGCAGACAGATGTCCACTGACCAACAGATGTGTCTGTAGACAGCGTTTCCATGGTAACCGCTGCATGAAACTTCCTGTTGGAGAGCGCCGTGCGACGGCTCCACCAGTCGTGACTGCTCTACCTCCTTCTTCCACCACCACAACAGAACCAGTCAAGACCTGCATCAGACCTGAACCTGCAGAGTCAGATCCAAACCCGTCATCCATAGAAGACAAGGACCTCATGATTACAGACTCTGGCACCGTCAAATCTGAAAATCCTGAAGCTGAGACTGAAAACATCAAGTTGAACAGAGGTGTGTCCATGAAGGAGAACCGAGCCTCCTTAGAACATCTGGGAGTGACGAGTACTGACTCAGATATGGAGGAGCAAAGAACAGCCTCTGAGCACGTGATTCTGGACCCAGATCCTGGATCTAAAAGAGAAAACAAGACTCGATCCATTCCTGAGTCCCTGAAACTGAATCTAGGACTGAAAGAGGATGAACGTTGGACAAGTGGGACAAGGACGTGGGAGAAGAAGAAGAACCAGATACTGAGGTATTCGTCATCTCCTACTGCCCTTGGACCTCTCCTCTTTAGTTTCACATCTATGTCTCTGCTCTTTGTCTCCTCTCCTACTCACTGAGAGGAGTAAAGATTGTGTAGAGCTGCTGGAACATCTTCTTTCTCCTCTTCCTCAGTTTCTTCTTCTTTAGATTTTTTGTAGCAGAAGAGAAGACCTGAGTCTGAGGAGGACATATGTCCCTCGGTGTCTCAGAGTCTGATGTGGTGATTAATAAAACCAGGTTTCAATGACCAGCCCGACCCTGAATCAGAGTTCACAAGTCAAAGGTCAGAGGTGGAGGCTGACTGTAGGAACAGGTTCTGGATGGGTTCTGCATTGTTTTTTAACGTCTGTGGAGAAGTTTGTATTCAGACCTTCTGAAGCTTCTTCAGAAGTTTTCTTGATTTTTCTGGAGTTTTACTTCAGTTCTTGTTCCTGGACATTCCTTCTTTTGTCTTCCTCCAGTAAAGGAACCCCTCACATCACCCTGAGCTTTACCACCCTGCTGGTCCGGTCTGTGAGTTTAGGAGCCATGTTGTATCTGAATGAAGTCAGAGTTCCAAGCATTCCTCTGAAAATATTCAGAAATAAGGACTGAAACTGACAGAAAATTAAATCAAAGTCCAAAGAAAACCTCTGGCAGACCTTCAGAAGGGCTCATCTGTAAGACCAGTTCTGATTCTGGACTGAGAGTTTCAGGTTAATGAATCATAGGTGAGATGAATAAATTAAAAGTAGTGTTGGAGTCACACAAGTCCCTATAGTCGTCCATCTAATCACAGAGGACAGAAACTTGTCCATTTAAAATTGAGGGTGTTGAGATTTGTAGAGTTAATGAGATGAAATTTTTGGGTGTAATCATTGATGAACAGCTAACGTGGAAAAATCACATAAATTCTGTAAGAACAAAAATATCTAAATCTATTGCAGTACTATACAAAGTCAGGGAATTATTAAATGATAAAGCTCTGTACATGTTGTATAACACAATCATTGTTCCACATTTAATCTATTGCATTGATGTTTGGGGGAAAGTGTGTAAAACATTTACAAAACCTATTTTTATTTTACAGAAAAGAGCTGTAAGAATTATCACCAGAAAGCATTACAGTCACCCATCAAGCACATTATTTTATCAACTGAAGTTATTGAAGTTCCATGATTTGGTAGATTACAGTATTTTATCAGTTATGTATAGGGCTCAAAATCACACATTACCATTAAATATCCAAATAAATTTTGTTAAAAGACAAAGTTACAATCTTAAGGGGATAGAGATATTTGTCAAACCAAAATTCAGAACTAGTCTGAAGGGAAGGTCTACCTCAATCCAAGGAGTTGGATTGTGGAATGGTCTAGAGAGTGATGTGAAAAATGCCAAGTCAATGTGCACATTTAAGAAAAAGATCAAAACTGGATTGTTAAAAAAATATATATGAAGTAGCTTAGTGTGTGTTTTGTATTAGAATTAGAAAAATTAGAAAGTTATCCATTTTGTTCTGTTACTTGAAAATTATTATGATTAAAATAATTGTTTGAAAAAAGGGGCAGATATAATAAGATTTTTTTAAAAATCTTTTGTATCTTTTTTTTTATATTGTTATGGAATTGTTTTGTACTTTTTTTAAATGAATAAACTTTATACCATACCATAAACTTCCACATTTTGGACAGAAGACAGTTTTAAAGAAAAGAGAAACCAAAGAAAGATTTTAAACTCCCTCCCCTCTTTCTTTGTTTTTGTCTTCTTCCTGAGGGTCATTAGGGTCTCTATGCCCCCTCACTCCTGAGGGTCATTAGGGTCTTTATCACTCTACCCTCTCTCCCGATTAGAGTCTTTATCTCCTCCCCTCCACTTCCTTCTCAGGGTCATTAGGGTCTTCATCTCCCTCCACTCCCTTCTGAGAGTCAGTATGGTCTCTACCTCCCTCCTCTTCCTTCTGAGGGTCTTCCCTTCCCAGGGCCATTCAGGTCTTCGTCTTCCTCCCCTCCCTTCTGAGGGTCATTAGGTTCTCTCTCCCTCTCCTTCCTTCTGAGGCTTATTAGAGTCTTTAGCTCCCTCCCTTCCGTTCTGAGGGTCGTTCAGGTTTTTGTCTCCCTCCCCACACTTCTGAGAGTCATTAGGGTCTTCGTCTCCCTTCCCTCCCTTATGAGGGTAATTAGAGTGTTTGTCTCCCTCTGCTCTGTTCTGAGGGTCATTAGGGTCTTTATATTCCTTTCCTTCCCTCTGAGGGTCATTAGGGCCTTTGTTCACGTGGCTCTCAGATGTTTTGTTCACCTGCATGGAGGTGTGACAGAGGGGAAACTGCTCCATTGTAGGTTTCGGAAAGCTAAAATATGAGACCTCCTCCTCTGTTTAAAGTTGTCTTTTCTCTTTTGACGTAAATGCCTTCCTTCACCCCTCTCAAACCATGTGTCTTCTCTGTCCAAAACATGGACATTATGGTCCTCAGACGAGTGTCCAGCAGCATGTAGGGGTGACAGTGGTTTTGTGTTTGTTCTTCTCCCTGTTCTGTGATGTGTTTTTAGAGTTCTTTGCTGATCAGTTCCAGTCAGGATATCCACAAGTTTGGACAGATTATTTGATCTGTTTCTGTTCCTTTTCTACTGTTCTTGTGGGAACAAGTTTGGTCCTGGTGTAGAAATCTAACATCAGAGAGTTTGTGTTTCAGTGGGTGGTGAAAATCGATCAGAAGGTTCTGATTTTTGTGAGGTGGTTTCCTGTAAACTTCAATGGCAAGTCTTTATGCTTCAAATGAACCCACACTTCTTCTGATGTAGGCCTAAAAATTAAAAGTGAAGTGGCCTCAGAAAATACAAGAATGGTAAATGGTCTGTACTTATATAGCACCTTTCTATTTCATTAAGATACTCTAAGCACTTTACACAACAATCTGTGCCTTCATTTACCCATTAACACAGCACTCTACTAGATCTTTACAAAGTATAATCAGAGCTTTATCACATTCACACACTGATTGGACACACATCAGAGGCAGTGAGGGGTTCACTGTCTTGCTCAGGGACACTTCAACATGTGACTGGTGGTGGAATCGAACCCCCAACTCTTGCATTGGAGGACGACTGCTATAACCACTCAGCCACAGCCGCCCCCAACAAGAAGAAGGTTTCGGTGATGGTAGGACACCAGATGAGTTTGTTTTCTTCACTTGAATGTGTGGAATTATCAGAGCACTTTGTAGATGGATGTGTTGATGCACTCGGGCGACTGAAAGACCTCTGGAGAGTTCAGACTGGACAGTGTGGTTCCTTCTTCTAGTCTGACTTTAAGTCAGTGTGACGTTCTGTGGCTGGAACGTCTTGTTTAAATCTTTCCAGTCCAACCACTGCAGCTTCTCATGCCCGACAGTTTTATCTGTGTGATCCCGTCCACTTTAAGTGTTCTTATAAACAGCTCGGGTCTGTTCACAAACCAGCAGCTGTAAGGTTTGAGTTCAGACACACAATGGAGAGGAAAAGTAAACTAGAATCAGACTATGAGGCGTCCCTCTAAGCCAAACCTTATCGGTTCTGAACTCCCAACACATGAATGTGTTCCTCACAAAAGTTACAGACTTTAGAAATCTGTTTCAGTTAACGAGTCAAAGAAAAACAGAACAAAAGTGCAAAATGCATAAATAATGACTCATGGAAACGAAAATAAAACCCACTCTGAGAACCAAAAATAACTGAAGAGTTCAGGAGATTAAATGGGATCTTAAAAGAGGGGGGATTCCACAAACCGCTGTCTTTATTCCTAACAGAAACGAGACTGTTTTTTATTTTCTGCTGCACTGAGATCAGCTCTGTTTGCTCCATTAGTCATGTTTGTCCTCAGACTGAAAATATCTACAGATTTTAGAACATTTGCTCCCATCCAGCAGAGAAGATCCAGGACTCTTGAACAGCTAGAACCCTCCTTCAGACCAGAACGAGACAATATTCCCTCCCAAACCTCAGACAACAACTGGTCTCCTCAGTTCCTCCAAATTGTCCAACAACTGATCTCTTCAGGTCCTTCAAAAACTCAGAGTTCCCACCATACTTGCTAGACACTCTCCACTCCACAACTGCATTTAGATCCTGTCCATGGACACCACAAACAGGATCGAAGACAATGAAAAGCCTTAGGGAAGTCTAATCCAGAATGAGCTTTAGTTTGTGCTAATAATGCACACAGCTCCTACTTTGGTTATACAAGGACCAGATAGATCTCCCAAGCAGCCCTGGCACCCCAAACTACTGCAGCACCCTGCAACATATGCCTCGGGGTACACGGTCAGAAACCTTCATAAGATCCACAAAACACATGTAGACTGAAGAGTCAAACTGCTTAGAGCAACCCTGCAAGGGTGAAGGTCTGGTCCACTGTTTCATGACCCAGACAAAAGCCACACAGGTCCTCCTGAAGCCGAGGTTCAGCAGTCATTCATGGCCTACCTTCCAACACCCTGGAGTAAACTTTCCTAGGTAAGCAAGCTAAGTGTGATTCAACAATAGTTGGAACAGACTCTCAAGTCCCCATTCAAAGATAAAACAACTACCCAGTTTGCCACTTTGCTGATGTTGTCCCAGTCTTCCACGCAACATGGAAGAGACATTTCAACCATGACAGAGCAACAATACCTCGCCCAGAAAAGAGAAACTGGGGTACTCCCTTGGAGCTAGGCCTGTGAGGGAAGCTCACAGATGAGCACCTGATGGCTGAGCCTTGGCTCCTGGGGCATGGCCTGTCCAAGCATGAAAGAGTGTCAGAAGACCACCTCCACTAGGCCCTCCACCTGTGAAGAGGATCATCAAAATCTGGTAAGAAGTGAACCAGTGGGCAGACGAGAGAGGGTCCCTGGCCATGTAGACTGCTGGCAGTATAGACTATCTTCAATTTTCATAGGACAAAATATACTATACTATACTCCAGTTATTTTCAGATGGTCACCAGCAGTTTCTACCAATTTTCTCCCAAAGATGGGCATGGCCGTTTAAAGGAGAATGAAGTGAAATGACATTGCTTGGCTCTGATATCCTGTCAACTACCTAGCTGGCAAACAGTTTAGATTAGCATACATTATTGGGTTGTGGTCATTAAAAATGAAACATAGCATTTTAAATAAGATTCAATCAGTATGTTTAAATTTACTCTGTTTGTGTCATGATCAGCAGTCTCTGCCCCTTTATGCCTTTATCACTTCCTCTGTCCCCTGCCTCGCTCACAGCCCCTTCATGTCATGTTTTCTGCGCTGTCGTTCAGCCATGCCCCCCTCTGCACTTTCAGCTCATCAGCCCTGATTCACTTCACCTGTTTGACCTTATTTAAGAGCTCAACTTTCACTTGTCCTTTGCCAGATTATCACACCTCCCATGGTCCCTGATTTTCCAGCCATCATAGTTTTCTTGTTTCTTGCCTGAATCTCAAGCCTTGCCTTCTGGATTTCCGTTTTTGCCTGTTTCTCATCTGGTTTTGTTCTGCCTCTCTGATCATGGTAACAACCTCCTCTTCTGACCAAACGACTACGTCTCATGGATTACTTGGACTTATTTGAACTTGGACCACCTGTACCTGACCCTGTTTTGTCCCTCGGATCCCACTCTCAGATTTATCCCCTTCAAACCACGTTGTCACAGTACTCCTCTGCAGTTGCCCTGCTCCACTGCCGATGACTTCACCTCTGCAGTCTTTGACAGGTGACTCTCTCTCCACTCGCTTGTGAAGACTTGTCACCTCTACTAGATTCTCTCCCTTGCTGCAACTGCAATAATAAATAAAACTGTTTTCATTTTTTACTCTTGTGTCTGGTTATTTTGAATCAAAAACCTGGTTCCTGAAAATTTGCTTAACTGAAATGGACTTTAAAAAGTAGGGCTGCACCAATTGCAGTTTTCTGGCCGATCACTGATCACCGATTTCTAAAAAGTCTGACCTGCCGATACTGATTTTGTTTTATACTGTAAGTGACACTGTCAGGTGTTATAAGGTCACAATGCACCATCAATTTTCCAATATCATTTTATTATAAAACATACCCTTGAACAATATTCTAGAAACAAACTTGTTTTAACTGACCATGAGGTAGTGCTCTGAAATATAAATGAAGTTCAGACAATTTTTGTTAAAACTAAAAAAAATCTGTAAAATCAGTTTCTCATTGGCCGATTTCCGATTTTCCAAAATTAAGGAAATCGGGGCCCTATTAAAAAGGCCTGTTTGTTCTGACTTAGTTGGCACACTGTAATTTTGTTGTCAACCATCAGTCTGGTTCTTAGTCTTCTGTCCTCTGACCCAATGGGTGCAGATTTTTGTGCCCTTTGATGTAATACTTGGTGGTTCTTACTGGTTGTTTTCCTGTTCCCTTACCTGACGGTTGTTGGTTTCCTGTTCCCTGACCTAACAGTTGGTGTTTGATGTCATCTGACCTGACGGTTGGTGTTTGATGTCCTCTGACCTGATGGTTGGTCTTTGATGTCCTCTGACCTGATGGTTGTTGGTTTCCTGTTCTCTGACCTGATGGTTGTTGGTTTCCTGTTCCCTGACCTAACAGTTGGTGTTTGATGTCCTCTGACCTGATGGTTGTTTTTTGATGTTCTCTGACCTGACAGTTGTTGGTTTCCTGTTCCCTGACCTGACGGTTGGTCTTTGATGTCCTCTGACCTGATGGTTGTTGGTTTCCTGTTCCCTGACCTGATGGATGGTGTTTGGTGTCCTCTGACATGATGGATGGTGTTTGGTGTCCTCTGACCTGATGGATGGTGTTTGGTGTCCTCTGTCCTGATGGATGGTGTTTGGTGTCCTCTGACCTGATGGATGGTGTTTGGTGTCTCTGACCTGATGGATGGTGTTTGGTGTCCTCTGACCTGATGGATGGTGTTTGGTGTCCTCTGACCTGATGGATGGTGTTTGGTGTCCTCTGACCTGATGGATGGTGTT